AAAGACCAGAAGGGAGTTTATTCAAGACAATCATTGTGCTCAGATACTGCAGAAAAATGCTGTGTTCACCAAGGAATATAGTGGTCATCCAGAGGGTGCAGTGCTGGAAGGTCAGGGGTTAAGAAAATAGAAAGAAGGGGGAACAGAGGGAACATTTCAATAATAAAGAAATGTTTCAGCAGAAAATTATTTTAACACAACAAAATGTTGAGTGTTTATTTCTAGTTGGCAAGACTATGAGTGAATTGTTGTGGTTGTGGGTGTGTATGTGTGTGTGTGTGTGTTTTTGCTTTAACACATGTTTTTCTATACGGGACAAGGGTTAGTTGTATAATAAAAAATAAAATAAAAAGGGACAACTGTAGAGGTAGCAGGATGGCGTTAAACCTAAAGATATTTGATTTATCATTTGTGCTATTCTTTTTCAATAAGATTAGACAATCTGAATAATAACAGTAGTGAATCTATAACAGCAGCCTAGTATTTGGAAGGTGGAAAATATTCTAAATTATTTGCACTTAATCCTTCATATAAATTTCCTATCTGTTGCTGTTCTAGGTTTCAATAGTAGTCCTATAATTTTACTAAATCCAGCATCATAACCATTCACCTTTAATTGGATATATTTCCTTAATCGAGTGTTAGTATCCAGTATAATAAAATAATTAGTCATTTAAAAATGCATGTTAATAAATTGACTTAAAAGTTAGATATCTCAGGAGAACCAAGATGGCGGCATAGAAAAGAGGGAACATTTCAATAATAAAGAAATGTTTCAGCAGAAAATTATTTTAACACAACAAAATGTTGAGTGTTTATTTCTAGTTGGCAAGACTATGAGTGAATTGTTGTGGTTGTGGGTGTGTATGTGTGTGTGTGTGTGTTTTTGCTTTAACACATGTTTTTCTATACGGGACAAGGGTTAGTTGTATAATAAAAAATAAAATAAAAAGGGACAACTGTAGAGGTAGCAGGATGGCGTTAAACCTAAAGATATTTGATTTATCATTTGTGCTATTCTTTTTCAATAAGATTAGACAATCTGAATAATAACAGTAGTGAATCTATAACAGCAGCCTAGTATTTGGAAGGTGGAAAATATTTTAAATTATTTGCACTTAATTATTAGCACTTAATCCTTCATGTAAATTTCCTATCTTTTGCTGTGCTAGGTTTCAATAGTAGTCCTATAATTTTACTAAATCCAACATCATAACCATTCACCTTTAATTGGATATATTTCCTTAATCGAGTGTTAGTATCCAGTATAATAAAATAAAATTATTAGTCATTTAAAAATGCATGTTAATAAAGTGACTTAAAAGTTAGATATCTCAAATTGAAAGTGGACATTTTAACTCCTTGTGGGGAACTTCCAACAGAATGGTGAGAGTAGGTGGATGATGGGGTTCCAGGGAAAAGAGCCTCCCTCTACCTACCATGCAAACTCTCTTTCAAAATTCAGCTAAGAGGTAACAGAAGGCAATGGGTTACTTGTGAGGATGGTCGAAAGATAAGTGAGATTTTTTTTTAAAGTGTTGCCCTGGGTGGTTTGGCTCAGTGGACAAAGCGTTGGCCTGTGGGCTGAGGGGTCCCAGGTTCGATTCTGGTAGGGGGCACCTGCCCAAGGTGGGGGCTC